CCCTATAACGTCCACACTCTCCCTATAACGTCCACACTCTCCCAGTAACGTCTACATTCTCCCTATAACGTCCACACTCTCCTTATAACGTCCACACTCTCCCTATAACGTCCACACTCAACCAGTAACGTCCACACTCTCTTTATAACGTCCACACTCTCCCAGTAACGTCCACACTCTCCCAGTAACGTCCACACTCTTCCAGTAACGTCCACACTCTCCCAGTAACGTCCACACTCTCCCAGTAACGTCCACACTCTTCCAGTAACCTCCACACTCTCCCAGTAACGTCCACACTCTCCTTATAACGTCCACACTCTCCCAGCAACGTCCACACTCTCCCAGTAACGTCCACACTCTCCCAGTAACGTCCACACTCTCCCAGTATCGTTCACACTCTCCCAGTAACGTCCACACTCTCCCAGTAACGTCCACACTCTCCCTATAACGTCCACACTCTCCCAGTAACGTCCACACTCTCCCAGTAACGTCCACACTCTCCCAGTAACGTCCACACTCTCCCAGTAACGTCCACACTCTCCCAGTAACGTCCACACTCTCCCAGTAACGTCCACACTCTCCCAGTAACGTCCACACTCTCCCAGTAACGTCCACACTCTCCCAGTAACGTCCACGCTCTCCCAGTAACGTCCACACTCTCCCAGTAACGTCCACACTCTCCCAGTAACGTCCACACTCTCCCAGTAACGTCCACACTCTCCCAGTAACGTCCACACTCTCCCAGTAACGTCCACACTCTCCCAGTAACGTCCACACTCTCCCAGTAACGTCCACACTCTCCCAGTAACGTCCACACTCTCCCAGTAACGTCCACACTCTCCCAGTAACGTCCACACCCTCCCTATAACGTCCACACTCTCCCAGTAACGTCCACACTCTCCCAGTAACGTCCACACTCTCCCAGTAACGTCCACACTCTCCCAGTAACGTCCACACTCTCCCAGTAACGTCCACACTCTCCCAGTAACGTCCACACTCTCCCAGTAATGTTCACACTCTCCCTGTAACGTCCACACTCTCCCAGTAACGTCCACACTCTCCCTGTAACGTCCACACTCTCCCAGTAACGTCCACTCTCTCCCAGTAACGTCCACACTCTCCCAGTAACGTCCACACTCTCCCTATAACATCCACACTCTCCCAGTAACGTCCACACTCTCCCAGTAACGTCCACACTCTCCCAGTAACGTCCACACTCTCCCAGTAACGTCCACACTCTCCCTATAACGTTCACACTCTCCCTATAACGTTCACACTCTCCAAGTAACGTCCACACTCTCCCAGTAACGTCCACACTCTCCCAGTAACGTCCACACTCTCCCAGTAACGTCCACACTCTCCCTATAACGTCCACACTCTCCCAGTAACGTCCACACTCTCCCAGTAACGTCCACACTCTCCCAGTAACGTCCACACTCTCCCAGTAACGTCCACACTCTCCCAGTAACGTCCACACTCTCCCAGTAACGTCCACACTCTCCCAGTAACGTTCACACTCTCCCTGTAACGTCCAAACTCTCCCAGTAACGTCCACACTCTCCCAGTAACGTCCACACTCTCCCTGTAACGTCCACACTCTCTCAGTAACGTCCACTCTCTCCCAGTAACGTCCACACTCTTCCAGTAACGCTCACACTCTCCCAGTAATGTCCACACTCTTCCTGTAACGTCCACACTCTCCCAGTAACGTCCACACTCTCCCAGTAACGTCCACACTCCCCAGTAACGTCCACACTCTCCCAGTAACGTCCACACTCTCCCAGTAACGTCCACACTCTCCCAGTAACGTCCACACTCTCCCTATAACGTCCACACTCTCCCTATAACGTTCACACTCTCCCTATAACGTTCACACTCTCCAAGTAACGTCCACACTCTCCCTATAACGTCCACTCTCTCCCAGTAACGTCCACACTCTCCCTATAACGTCCACTCTCTCCCAGTAACGTCCACACTCTCCCTATAACGTCCACTCTCTCCCAGTAACGTCCACACTCTCCCAGTAACGTCCACACTCTCCCTATAACGTCCACACTCTCCCAGTAACGGCCACACTCTCCCTATAACGTCCACTCTCTCCCAGTAACGGCCACACTCTCCCAGTAACGTCAACACTCTCCCAGTAACGTCCACACTCTCCCTATAACGTCCACACTCTCCCAGTAACGTCCACACTCTCCCTAAAACGTCCACACTCTCCCAGTAACGTCCACACTCTCCCAGTAACGTCCACACTCTCCCAGTAACGTCCACACTCTCCCTATAACGTCCACACTCTCCCAGTAACGTCCACACTCTCCCAGTAACGTCCACACTCTCCCTATAACGCCCACACTCTCCCAGTAACATCCACTCTCTCCCAGTAACGTCCACACTCTCCCAGTAACGTCCACACTCTCCCTATAACGTCCACACTCTCCCTATAACGTTCACACTCTCCAAGTAACGGCCACACTCGCCCAGTAACGTCCACACTCTCCCAGTAACGTCCACACTCTCCCAGTAACGTCTACACTCTTCCAGTCTCCCTATAACGTCCACACTCTCCCGGTAACGTCCACACTCTCCCTATAACGTCCACACTCCCCTATAACGTCCACACTCTCCCTATAACGGCCACACTCTCCCAGTAACGTCCACACTCTCCAAGTAACGTCCACACTCTCCCAGTAACGTCCACACTCTCCCAGTAACGTCCACACTCTCCCTATAACGGCCACATTCTCCCCATAACGTCCACACTCTCCCTATAACGTCCACACTCCCTATAACGGCCACATTCTCCCTATAACGTCCACAATCTCCCTATAACGTCCACACTCTCCCTATAACGTCCACACTCTCCCAGTAACGTCCAAACTCTCCCTATAACGTCCAAACACTCCCTTTAACGTCCACACTCTCCTAGTAACGTCCACACTCTTCCTATAACGTCCACACTCACCCAGTAACGTCCACACTCTACCAGTAACGTCCACACTCTCCCAGTAACGTCCACACTCTCCCAGTAACGTCCACACTCTCCCTATAACATCCACACTCTCCCAGTAACGTTCACACTCTCCCAGTAACGTCCACACTCTCCCTATAACGTCCACACTCTCCCAGTAACGTCCACACTCTCCCAGTAACGTCCACACTCTCCCAGTAACGTCCACACTCTCCCTATAACGTCCACACTCTCCCAGTAACGTCCACACTCTCCCTATAACGTCCACACTCTCCCTATAACGTCCACACTCTCCCAGTAACGTCCACACTCTCCCAGTAACGTCCACACTCTCCCTATAACGTCCACACTCTCCCTATAACCTCCACACTCTCCCAATAACGTCCACACTCTCCCAGTAACGTCCACACTCTCCCTATAACATCCACACTCTCCCAGTAACGTCCACACTCTCCCTATAACGTCCACACTCTCCCAGTAACGTCCACACTCTCCCAGTAACGTCCACACTCTCCCTATAACGTCCACACTCTCCCTATAACGTCCACACTCTCCCTATAACGTCCACACTCTCCCTATAACGTCCACACTCTCCCAGTAACGTCCACACTCTCCCAGTAACGTCCACACTCTCCCTATAACGTCCACACTCTCCCAATAACGTCCACTCTCTCCCAGTAACGTCCACACTCTCCCTATAACGTCCACACTCTCCCAGTAACGTCCACACTCTCCCAGTAACGTCCACACTCTCCCAGTAACGTCCACACTCTCCCTATAACGTCCACACTCTCCCAGTAACGTCCATACTCTCCCAGTAACGTCCACACTCTCCCCGTGACGCCCTGACTGTGGTAGGGACTTCCTGTTGGCGAGTCTACGACTCCTCGACTCAACAATGTAATTAATACTACGGAAGGCGGATCCAACGAGCAGTAAAAAGCACGGCTATTCACCGAGACTATGACCAATCGATACAAGGATTAGGGAGAGTGAATGGCTGATGGCGGGGGTGTCAGAGAGAATAATGCGCTGGGTTCTTCACTGAATGACGGGTTGAGGTGAAGGAAAGGGGGTTGGGGGAGGGTTTTCTCTGGGAGTTAGGGTAGGGGTAAGGGTGGTATGGCTTGATAGACCTCCCTTAGAGGAAAATGAGAGGTAAGAACCCCTTCGTTTGATAAAAAATCTAAGTCATAACACACAGATATTACAATAACGTGATGCATCAAATGAACAAATCCACAAGGGTCAAGTTCAGTCGATTAAGGCAGCGTCTGGGATGCTCCCGGACGCAGGTTCGAATCCTCGTCACGGCCCCTTGTCGATTTGTTCATTTAAGTCATACGTGAAGTGCACTCGATGTCGTTGTGTGTGTGTGTCAGGTTTCGTTGCTTTGCGATTTCTAATTGCAGGAACATTTCCTCGTGTTATTAAATCGTCTGGGAAAAAAGTTGATGGAAATTTAGGGGGATCAATTATCTTGGCTTAATTCCAACTTCTAACAAATGATTGGGTAATTAAAGGTTAATTACTACCATCGCCAGCCGCGATGGACCTGTTGCTTCCCCCATAACACATCATTACCATTTGTTACTCTCTTCCTCCTCTCAAAACTACCAAGTTCCCTCCAAAATTCAGGACTAAAAATAAATTCCTTATTTAATCAGTTCAAATCCGGGAAGGTTATTGGTGGAGCAGCTTTGGCACCAATTGTGGATATGCACAACCCACAGAGAACTGGGTTGTGATTTGGCCTAAATATTTTATGAGGTGTCCAGCTTCATAATGTAGGGGAATATGAGGTCTCTATTAGATTCATCATGTTCTTCAATATGTGTTGATCATGTCTCGTTCTCTGGTGTTAGAGCAGAGTGGTGACACACAGCAGAGTGAGACATAGCAGTGAGACACAGCAGAGTGAGACACAGCAGTGAGACACAGCAGAGTAATGAGACACAGCAGAGTAATGAGACACAGCAGTGAGACACAGCAGGTACGTAGGAGAACACTCTGAATATGAGGTACTTACCGTGTGAGACAGGTATGAGGAGTGTGAGGGCGAGGAGCACACACTTGCTCAGAGGCAGCCCCCTCATTCTTGCTCTCCTGACGCAGCCCCCTGCGTGAGGCGAGGCTCCTGGCAAGGTGGGGCTGGAGCCGGGGATCACTGCCTAGCCAGTCCCCACCACTGGGGACAGTGCCCGCTTTGCTAGGGCTAACGTGCACAGATTTCTAGTAATTATTTTCTATTCACTCTCCCCTGCTATGGATAGATCTTTTTTTGTTTATTGTCGACCGAGGAAGAATAGGGATAGATGAGAGGGGGGAAGGATAGGCTGATGAGAGGTGCTTAGTGGAGAGGGACTGACGGAGATGGTTGGCCGGCTAGACCATCCTGTCCTAGGCAGCTGGGGCTAGAAGTGCGGGTGGACGTGCCACCTTGCGCGTCGAGGATAGACCTCTGCACTCTTCACCTCCGCCCTTCTTCCCCTACCTATCCTCTCCACGTCCTGCCCTCTATCCACCTTCACTGCATTTATTTTCCTCGCTTATGGATAGCTATACTTAATACAACGCTCCAGTCCTTTGAGGGACTGAGGGTGTTTCAAAAATTGATATATAAATATATATACATGCCGGGGTATATATATTTATTATGTATTCGTGTTTATTACTGGTGTATACATGTACACAGCTCAGCGTCAACTATGCCTGGCTATGTATCCGCTCTAATTTTAATCACTCAAAAGTTTATCCGATATAAACACAGATTCGTATAATAGTAATTCCTAAAGTTACAGCATTTCTAGAACTCGCTATTGCTTATGCAGCTTTCGGTGTTGCGAGAGAGCAGCTACAGCAGCAGCAGCAGCAGCAGGAGCAGCAGCAGCAGCACGTGGCGGCGCGGGAGATCGCGTCGGTTCACCTCTCACCCGGTAGTGAGGTGAGGATCTGTGTACGGCCGCCACTACACCAACCAATATATATACCCCGTCCGCTACACCCCCCAGCCTGCTACACCCCCCACCCCAGCCAGGCCACACGCTCCACACTTCTCTTATCGTTAAATACCCATTATCAACCCGCTGTAATCCCGTCCTCAGCCTCACGCACCCCTGATAACGGACCAATCAACAGCTGCACTTTACCTCCTCCCAAACGCACAGGCGGGACAAAACATCACAGTTACCCCTTCCAGCCCCTCGGGACCCGTTTTCCCAAAACACGTAAGAGGGTTTCGGTTATCTTTTTACTGTGACGTCACGAACGTCTGCACCAATGAGGGCGCAGGGAAGGCCGCGGGGCGGGGCTTGGGTGAGGTCACAACCGAGGCTTCATTCATGAAATTGGGTTGGCGGTGAGGCGCGGTGTTTGAAGGAGTCTCTTCACAACCTGAGGAGTCTCTTCACAACCTGAGGAGTCTCTTCACAACCTGAGGAGTCTCTTCACAACCTGAGGAGTCTCTTCACAACCACAGGAGTCTCTTCACAACCTGAGGAGTCTCTTCACAACCTGAGGAGTCTCTTCACAACCTGAGGAGTCTCTTCACAACCTGAGGAGTCTCTTCACAACCACAGGAGCCTCTTCACAACCTGAGGAGTCTCTTCACAACCACAGGAGTCTCTTCACAACCTGAGGAGTCTCTTCACAACCTGAGGAGTCTCTTCACAACCTGAGGAGTCTCTTCACAACCTGAGGAGTCTCTTCACAACCACAGGAGCCTCTTCACAACCTGAGGAGTCTCTTCACAACCACAGGAGTCTCTTCACAACCTGAGGAGTCTCTTCACAACCTGAGGAGTCTCTTCACAACCTGAGGAGTCTCTTCACAACCACAGGAGTCTCTTCACAACCTGAGGAGTCTCTTCACAACCACAGGAGTCTCTTCACAACCTGAGGAGTCTCTTCACAACCTGAGGAGTCTCTTCACAACCTGAGGAGTCTCTTCACAACCTGAGGAGTCTCTTCACAACCTGAGGAGTCTCTTCACAACCTGAGGAGTCTCTTCACAACCTGAGGAGTCTCTTCACAACCTGAGGAGTCTCTTCACAACCACAGGAGTCTCTTCACAACCTGAGGAGTCTCTTCACAACCTGAGGAGTCTCTTCACAACCTGAGGAGTCTCTTCACAACCTGAGGAGTCTCTTCACAACCACAGGAGCCTCTTCACAACCTGAGGAGTCTCTTCACAACCACAGGAGTCTCTTCACAACCTGAGGAGTCTCTTCACAACCTGAGGAGTCTCTTCACAACCTGAGGAGTCTCTTCACAACCTGAGGAGTCTCTTCACAACCACAGGAGCCTCTTCACAACCTGAGGAGTCTCTTCACAACCACAGGAGTCTCTTCACAACCTGAGGAGTCTCTTCACAACCTGACCTGGGGAGCCTCTTCACAACCTGAGGAGTCTCTTCACAACCTGAGGAGTCTCTTCACAACCTGAGGAATCACTTCACAACCTGAGGAGTCTCTTCACAACCTAAGGAGTCTCTTCACAACCTGAGGAGTCTCTTCACAACCTGGGGAGCCTCTTCACAACCTGAGGAGTCTCTTCACAACCTGAGGAGTCTCTTCACAACCTGAGGAGTCTCTTCACAACCTGAGGAGTCTCTTCACAACCTGAGGAGTCTCTTCACAACCTGAGGAGTCTCTTCACAACCTGAGGAGTCTCTTCACAACCTGAGGAGTCTCTTCACAACCTGAGGAGTCTCTTCACAACCTGAGGAGTCTCTTCACAACCTGAGGAGTCTCTTCACAACCTGAGGAGTCTCTTCACAACCTGAGGAGTCTCTTCACAACCTGAGGAGTCTCTTCACAACCTGAGGAGTCTCTTCACAACCTGAGGAGTCTCTTCACAACCTGAGGAGTCTCTTCACAACCACAGGAGCCTCTTCACAACCTGAGGAGTCTCTTCACAACCACAGGAGTCTCTTCACAACCTGAGGAGTCTCTTCACAACCTGAGGAGTCTCTTCACAACCTGAGGAGTCTCTTCACAACCTGAGGAGTCTCTTCACAACCACAGGAGTCTCTTCACAACCTGAGGAGTCTCTTCACAACCTGAGGAGTCTCTTCACAACCTGAGGAGTCTCTTCACAACCTGAGGAGTCTCTTCACAACCACAGGAGTCTCTTCACAACCTGAGGAGTCTCTTCACAACCACAGGAGTCTCTTCACAACCTGAGGAGTCTCTTCACAACCTGAGGAGTCTCTTCACAACTGAGGAGTCTCTTGAGGAGTCTCTTCACAACCTGAGGAGTCTCTTCACAACCACAGGAGTCTCTTCACAACCTGAGGAGTCTCTTCACAACCACAGGAGTCTCTTCACAACCTGTCTCTTCACAACCTGAGAGTCTCTTCACAACCTGAGGAGTCTCTTCACAACCTGAGGAGTCTCTTCACAACCTGAGGAGCCTCTTCACAACCTGAGGAGTCTCTTCACAACCACAGGAGCCTCTTCACAACCTGAGGAGTCTCTTCACAACCTGAGGAGTCTCTTCACAACCACAGGAGTCTCTTCACAACCTGAGGAGTCTCTTCACAACCTGAGGAGTCTCTTCACAACCTGAGGAGTCTCTTCACAACCTGAGGAGTCTCTTCACAACCACAGGAGTCTCTTCACAACCTGAGGAGTCTCTTCACAACCTGAGGAGTCTCTTCACAACCTGAGGAGTCTCTTCACAACCTGAGGAGTCTCTTCACAACCTGAGGAGTCTCTTCACAACCTGAGGAGTCTCTTCACAACCTGAGGAGTCTCTTCACAACCTGAGGAGTCTCTTCACAACCTGAGGAGTCTCTTCACAACCACAGGAGTCTCTTCACAACCTGAGGAGTCTCTTCACAACCTGAGGAGTCTCTTCACAACCACAGGAGTCTCTTCACAACCTGAGGAGTCTCTTCACAACCTGAGGAGTCTCTTCACAACCTGAGGAGTCTCTTCACAACCTGAGGAGTCTCTTCACAACCTGAGGAGTCTCTTCACAACCTGAGGAGTCTCTTCACAACCTGAGGAGTCTCTTCACAACCTGAGGAGTCTCTTCACAACCTGAGGAGTCTCTTCACAACCTGAGGAGTCTCTTCACAACCTGAGGAGTCTCTTCACAACCTGAGGAGTCTCTTCACAACCTGAGGAGTCTCTTCACAACCTGAGGAGTCTCTTCACAACCTGAGGAGTCTCTTCACAACCTGAGGAGTCTCTTCACAACCTGAGGAGTCTCTTCACAACCTGAGGAGTCTCTTCACAACCTGAGGAGTCTCTTCACAACCTGAGGAGTCTCTTCACAACCTGAGGAGTCTCTTCACAACCACAGGAGTCTCTTCACAACCTGAGGAGTCTCTTCACAACCTGAGGAGTCTCTTCACAACCTGAGGAGTCTCTTCACAACCTGAGGAGTCTCTTCACAACCACAGGAGTCTCTTCACAACCTGAGGAGTCTCTTCACAACCTGAGGAGTCTCTTCACAACCTGAGGAGTCTCTTCACAACCTGAGGAGTCTCTTCACAACCACAGGAGTCTCTTCACAACCTGAGGAGTCTCTTCACAACCTGAGGAGTCTCTTCACAACCTGAGGAGTCTCTTCACAACCTGAGGAGTCTCTTCACAACCTGAGGAGTCTCTTCACAACCTGAGGAGCCTCTTCACAACCTGAGGAGTCTCTTCACAACCTGAGGAGTCTCTTCACAACCTGAGGAGTCTCTTCACAACCTGAGGAGTCTCTTCACAACCACAGGAGTCTCTTCACAACCTGAGGAGTCTCTTCACAACCTGAGGAGTCTCTTCACAACCTGAGGAGTCTCTTCACAACCTGAGGAGTCTCTTCACAACCACAGGAGTCTCTTCACACTGAGGAGTCTCTTCACAACCTGAGGAGTCTCTTCACAACTGAGGAGTCTCTTCACAACCTGAGGAGTCTCTTCAACCAACCACAAGGAGTCTCTTCACAACCTGAGGAGTTCTCTTCACAACCTGAGGAGTCTCTTCACAACCTGAGGAGTCTCTTCACAACCTGAGGAGTCTCTTCACAACCACAGGAGTCTCTTCACAACCTGAGGAGTCTCTTCACAACCTGAGGAGTCTCTTCACAACCTGAGGAGTCTCTTCACAACCTGAGGAGTCTCTTCACAACCACAGGAGTCTCTTCACAACCTGAGAAGTCTCTTCACAACCACAAGAGTCTCTTCACAACCTGAGGAGTTTCTTCACAACCTGAGGAGTCTCTTCACAAACTGAGGAGTCTCTTCACAACCTGAGGAGTCTCTTCACAACCACAGGAGCCTCTTCACAACCTGAGGAGTCTCTTCACAACCTGAGGAGTCTCTTCACAACCTGAGGAGTCTCTTCACAACCTGAGGAGTCTCTTCACAACCTGAGGAGTCTCTTCACAACCACAGGAGCCTCTTCACAACCTGAGGAGTCTCTTTACAACCTGAGGAGTCTCTTCACAACCTGAGGAGTCTCTTCACAACCACAGGAGCCTCTTCACAACCTGAGGAGTCTCTTCACAACCACAGGAGCCTCTTCACAACCTGAGGAGTCTCTTCACAACCTGAGGAGTCTCTTCACAACCTGAGGAGTCTCTTCACAACCACAGGAGCCTCTTCACAACCTGAGGAGTCTCTTCACAACCTGAGGAGTCTCTTCACAACGTGATGAGTCTCTTCACAACCACAGGAGCCTCTTCACAACCTGAGGAGTCTCTTCACAACCTGAGGAGTCTCTTCACAACCTGAGGAGTCTCTTCACAACCTGAGGAGTCTCTTCACAACCTGAGGAGTCTCTTCACAACCACAGGAGCCTCTTCACAACCTGAGGAGTCTCTTCACAACCTGAGGAGTCTCTCCATAACCGCCTGGAGAATGTCACCAAGAGCCTCACCAGGAGCCTCACCAGAAGCCTCACCAGGAGCCTCACCAGGAGCCTCACCAGGAGCCTCACCAAGAGCCTCA